AAATTTAGCGGAAAAGTTTATTCAAGATTTATTCTTTTATTCGTGAGTAGAAAACAATAATTAGAAAAGATCAGAAAATCTATAAAAAATCTCATTTTATGAAGCGAGGAAATAAAAAAATCCGTTCGAAAAGATTTTGCTCGCGTAAGAGGAGCGTGAGAAAATTTCAAACTTGATTTTCTGCCTCCATTGTGCGCGCGCAACTCGAGAATCGAAGGAAGCAGAGTTCTCTATCGATACGGAGCGATCGATCGCGCACACCCTAAGTCGATTTGGTCGATTTGGTCGGTCCAAATGCCCGATGAACAAAAATAAAAGTGAGATAGAAAAAGACGGAAGCGCGAAGCGCGGTTAATTCGCGGTCCACACAACGGTTTGCCCAGCTGAATGGCAATTGTTAAACTTCCTTTAGCGCAAACGTGTACAACGAGGTCAATTGGCGTTAAATGGAGGCATTACGACATTATGTAACTTAGGGCCATTCCGAAGGGTACACCCACGCGACCATACCGATGCTTTCGTACAGCATCAACCCCATGGAAATATCCGAAGTTCATTTCAAATTCGAAACGCTAGGGTGATTTAACGATTGTGTTGTCTTTATTATTTAACAATTTTATCGTTTATCGATGAAAGAATCGTACGTTTCAAATTTATCGTCTCTCGAGTGGAAAATCAGTTACCCTTTTATTCTCAAGATTTTTGGCTAAATGTTGCTTTGCAAACTCGATGATTTTAATAAAAATTTAAAGATTTTAACTATTGTAAAATCACAGAAACTTTTGGTCGGATTTTTACGTTACATTTACATTAACGATAAAGATTATTCAATTTTTTTTTTCTACTAAAAAATTACTTTTCTGCAAGGATTTTTCTTTGGAAAAATTATGTTTTATAAACTTGTATTAATAAATAATAGTTTGGAAATTAAAAGATAAGATAAAATGAATACTACTTAAAAAATTTCATGTTATTAATTTTCATGTACATAGTTTATAAAAAGTGTTAACAACAATAGAATTTCTATTAATAAGAGATGGTTTGATTATTTGTCCACTAGATTATATTTGTACAGTTATTTAGCAATAATTTATGCAGTACTTATAAGTCTATAAATTGTTTATATAGATTTTTAAAAAAAAGGGAACATATGACCAAATTTGATTTAAACTATAAGACTAACAATTCCTTACTGTAAGTAAAAAAGAAAGCTACCGAGGTTATGTGACATTCATAATTGTTGGAATTGATTATACCAATAAATAAGTAAGAGATTCATTGATTAAATCGTATTAAAACAATCTTCGTTTGCCTATTAGCTTATCGAATGACCCTCGTAATTCTTATGTACTGCAATATCTTCAAGATATCGCAAGTGATATGGATATAAGAAACATAATACTTCTTCGTAATACCATTTATCGCGTCTCTTCGTGACTCTACGAGACAATTCCTCCATGATATTCGGATCGAAACGTGTAAGTACAAATATTTTTCTCAAACAGCGAATGTAAATACACTCTAATTAATAAAGAGCAAAAAAGATTTTATATTCATTCGATAAACATTTCAACAAGATCGTTTTCTTAAAGACTTCAACATAATCGACTTCCTCCTTTATTACAAATGAAATTTTAAATTCATTTTCAATTCATTCAATGTATTTTCAACCACAATATTTAATCAAAACAATAAATCTAATAATTAATTGAGGTTATACTGTTATAAATCAATTATTAATATCTTCTATGCTTTTTTAAGGGCAAAAGAAACGAATATCAATGTTTTGTTCCGATGTACCATTCCAATCTTAATTCTTGAAGGAATTGGAACCTTGTAAACGGCTTACTGAAACTCGATACGCGGATTCGTCTGGACTGTAATACGATACTCGTAGGATAATGGCAATTCTCGAAAGACATTGTGAAAGAGACGTATTCTGGTCATCTAATTTCAAAATATTTACGTTTTACTAACGTATCCTCGAAGCTGCAGAGTGATTGGCATTGGCATCGATACAAAACCGACGTATTTCCACCTCAAATAAATTACATGTTCGAGTATTCTACTTCCTGCAGCGTAATTGCTTCGTATGCCGCGGTAATTCGTTACATTACATTCACTTACGATGTACGTTTCCCATTTTAAAATAGTTATTTTAACTGTCTCGTTAGATAAAAATTTACTACAGCGCGATAACCACGCGAAAGTTTACTGTTAGCTGAATACTGCTGTTTAACTGTGCCCGCCAAACAATATCTTTCTTGCGTAAATACTTAAAATTGTACATATAATACATTGGTACTGCACGAAGCTATAAAGATTGACCCTGACAAGGAAAGTGCTAAACCTGTCCCCCTTCAATTTTAACCTACGTGTATAATATAATAGATTAACCTCTTCAGGGACGAATTTTTTTTTGTCTATTTATTATTGACAGTAACTATAATTATAAAAAAAAAACTAAACGTCCACATATGTGGCCAAGGGCGTGAAGAGGTTAAAAGTCCCTGTTGCAGTGAGTAAAATATTAGGTGTTGGTAACTAAATAATTTTAGAGATATAAATAATTAAAGTTACATACTATTTAATATCAATGAAGATCTCTTCTATTCAATCGACTCAATTTCATTTTTTGGGTTTCAAATTAAATGGTCTAGTGGGGGGACCAATCTTTTTTATCAACAATGAATTCTTTTTATAGGTTATGTATCTGAGAACAAGATAGGCTATTTATCATCGTGCGTTAAATTAACGGGGTGTGTAATAAACAATTATAAATAAGTAAAAGACTCGTTAGGAATTTTGGAATATTTTCAAATATTGTCAATGAGTTTATTTGAAACAATCCATTCTCGATACTGGCGTACACGTGTTCTCGTCCTTCCACATAGTTCGCGTGACGTCGCGAATATTATTTTACACTCGGAAACGTCAGTAATACAATACAGCAGTTAACTATCACGATTCCATATATCGTGTTTCATCGTGATTTTACAAATGAATCGTAACACACAAAGCAGACATACGGGTTAGCACCGACGCGACAATTTCATTCGATTATAAGAATAGGTCGACGCATAGAGGTAGCAAGTACTATCATTGGGCACATGTCTGGTACTAGCATTGATAAAATTCTATTTCACACGGAGCATGTAACATTTTTTGACGATCGTCACATTGAACGATATTCGACAATTTTTAGTATTATTTTTTGTCCATTCAGAGAATTTTATAGGGTGAAAATATAGTATTTTTTTACTTTCTTTTATTTATTTATTATACGGTTAAAACCCCATGTACGAGAAAAAACATAATGATATTTTTACAGTCGAGTTAGAGAACAGTACTTATAGATAAACATTATATAGAATAGAATTTAATTATACATTTTATAAAAAGAATACTATATTTAATATTTAAATTCTTTATAAAGAAATTACTTATTGTTTGAAATTATATTTTAATTGAATAGATGCGTTTGAAGTATAATAAATTTTCTCTCAGATAAATTTCATTGATTCCTCCTCAGTTATGGATTGACACTCGTATATTATTGTAAATTGAGTCTCCATTGTTACAATAAGGAAGTACACATAAGAGGAAACAGTTCTGAAACTAAATATCAAAAATGTCTCGAACAGTCGTGTTTCCTTATTAATTCGAGTATAGGTGATCCCAGTGCACTTCGAATGATCTGTAGAAAATCTTTGCAACGGGTCAAACGTAGCGAGCAAATCGCCACAATTTTTACGAGACCCAGACATCTGGCACAGTGGTGGAATTAATCAGCGCGTGGTGGTATTCCGTATAATATAGGTTAATTGCATTAATCGTTGGTTCAATTTGAAGGAAGATCAAAGCGTGTGGTCAAGTGGAGCAATTCAATTAAGAACCGATTCAATGTCTCGCAAGGTCGCCTCTCGGATTCTATTCTTCGCTAAAATGACCTTCGCCGCCATTGCTCTCGTAATAAGAATTTTAAGTCGTCGCGTTCGCACCGAATTTATGCTTTCGGGAATTTTCATACAGTTCTATTAAAAAAGTAATTTAAAATGTTCTCGTTGGTGTTTGGAATGGAAATTAAATTTTATTTAGAAAATACAAGATGGCGATAATTTTTGGTAATAAAGAAAAATAATTGAAAATTAATTTACAGTAGCAATTTATTATTAAAAATTGACAAGCTTCCGTTTATAAATCCTTCTTGTCGAGCGTGGAACAAATAATGAGATTATATTCAGATATTTATTTATTATCAAACAATGATAAACAGTAAATCGCATTCATAATGCTCGTTAGAATGCTGTGCATGATATATGGTACTATTAAACTGCTTAAAAGTCAAACGGAAATGTACGAATTGAAAACGGAAATATGAAAAATGAACCCCGGATGTAGCAACATTGAGTCCTACTGTGATATTCCGTATTGCAATCACGGAAACTATTCCAGTGTATTGTATTTTTTACGAGAGCATGAAATACCGTGAATAAATATCAACTGGCATTGTTCGTTGAGGAAATGATCAATATAAATAAAAAATAAAACCGATAAAATTACATTTTTATTTTTATATACTAAATTTTATTAGCATAGTTAATAATAGATAATTATATTGTGTTTTTTCGAGACCATGAAATACCGTGAATAAATATCAACTGGCATTGTTCGTTGAGGAAATGATCGATATAAATAAAAAATAAAACCAATAAAATTACACTTTTAATTTTATATACTAAATTTCATTAGCATAGTTAATAATAGATAATTGTATTGTGTTTTTTATGAGATCACGAAATACTGTTAATAAATATCAAGTGGCATTGTTCGTTAAGGAAATGATCGATATAAATAAAAAATAAAACTGATACAATTACATTTTTATTTTTATATACTAAATTTCTTTGGCATAATTAATAATAGAATTTATTAAAGATAGTTTGTTTGATTAAATACTTAAAAATGTATGTAGTAGCCAACGAAACTTTCTTTTATAGGTAAAATCGGACTGTTTTATTTGATATTCTACGGCGTACTGGCTGCATTGGTTGCAATTTGCTTCTGGGGCTTCTTCCAAACGTTGGATCCAAGGATACCGAGGTGGCAGTTGGAACGTTCGATAATTGGAACAAGTCCTGGTAAAATCATACAAACGAAATAATCATGTACAAATGTCTGATAGTTTTCCTGATCCAATATCGTCCTTGCAGGTTTAGGATTCAGGCCTAGACCACCATTGGAAAATGTGGAAAGCACATTGATTTGGTATAGGGGAACAGACAGCGAGAACTTCAAATACTGGATTGATTCCTTACAGGCCTTTCTTAAAGGTAAATTGAATTTTTTTCAAAACGATTGAATAATTAAAATTTTTAAAGAATTAGGCTCAGCTTTTGGGACAATATTAAGTTGTTAATGTAAAAATTGCGAAGCTATTATCAAAAAAAGAAATTAAGTAATCGACAACTGTAATTTTAATGGTGTGCAAACTATTAATGTTTCAGATTATATAACGCCAGGTTCTGTTCCTGGCGTTGGTGCAAACCTTAATAAATGCGACTACAATCAACCTCCACCCCCTGGTAAGGTCTGTGACGTCGATGTTAAGAACTGGCAACCTTGTACGAAGGAGAACAAATATAATTATCACAGAAATGCTCCATGCATTTTTCTCAAGCTTAACAAGGTATATTTACTCAGTAAGAAACAAGAAACCTGCTATGTATACAATTGGGATATTTCTTCACTTCGTGTCGAATTTTGTATTAAGACTAAAAGCGATACTTTCATGAAACTTCTTTGACTTTCCATTGAAGTGTTGTTCAACACTCTTCTTTAGTATGTTAATACTGTCAAATTCCTTACCCATTAAAAAGTGTTACAATAGACAAAATAGATGATAATTGAATAGGGCAACACCTGCAGAATAAGCTACGTGTGATAGAGTTTCCCAACCAACTAACTGGTTTACATAATCTTTTCTTCTTTTCTTTACATTTCTTACCACACATATGGTCTAGGGTTGTCACTATGAAATATCACTTTGTTTCCAATTCAGTATTCCCGGACGTTTAACACATTAACTCTCATAGTTTTTCTGATTAGTTACAGTATACAGAAAAATTTTAATGGGAGATTAGAGGCTTCGTTAAAAAGTTATTAACAATTAAATTTAAAAATTTCAAATCGTTCTAAAAAAATTATTTTCGGTTGCGGGGGTCAATTACAATCATTTTTGGTCATTACACATACCCCCGAAATCCTAGGCACTTTTGAGAAAAAAATTCTTTACCGAAAATCTAATTAGGTGTCTTTCGACGAAAAAGAAAAATTTCAAATCGTTCTGGAAAAATTATTTTCAGTTGCGGGGGTCAATTACAATCATTTTTGGTGAATAGACATACCTCCAAAATTCTACCCACTTTCTAGAAAAAAATTCGAGAAGGTGTGAAATTTTTCGACGAAATTAAAAAATTTCTAATCATACTAAAAAAATTATATTTAGTTACAGGGTTCAATTACAATTATTTTTGGTCATTACACATAACCCCGAATTCCTACGCACTTTCGAGAAAAAAATTCCTTACCAAAAATCTAATTAGCTACCTAAATTTTTCGACAAGAAAAAAAACTTTCAAATCGTTCTGGAAAAATTATTTTCGGTTGCGGGGGTCAATTACAATCATTTTTGGTGAATAGACATACCCCCGAAATCCTGCGCATATTCGAGAAAAAAATTCAGTACTTGTGGAACTTTAAACGATAATAACTTTTTAACAAAGCCTCCATTAGCAAATTGGTATTCTTGATTTTCGTCTTATTTTGGCCCCTAGAATCCCCCATTAAAATTTTTCCCATGGGTTACCGAACACCCTATATACTAATGGTAATAATTTTATTGTTTAACTACAATTTAAAATAAAAAATGAAAGGTGAAACGACACGATCTTAAGGGATGATCTAATATAATAGCTTCAGCAATGGATTCTGTGCATGAAAACAATAAAAAAAGTTCTAATCAGTTTTATATTAAGGTCATCTTTAACATCCCCTGTGAATATAAACAGATTTTTATATGAAGCTTTTTTTATTTGTTCCATGTCGAAATGATTTTGTTATTAATGGAGAAATAAATTCTTTGTAGATATATGGCTGGAAACCAGAGTTCTACAACGATACAGAATCGTTACCAGAAAAAATGCCTCTCGATCTCAAGGAGCATATTGCCTTTGTAAAGACAAACAATTCTTTGCATCTTAACACAGTGTGGGTGTCTTGCGAAGGAGAGAATCCCGCCGATCAAGAAAACATAGGACCAATTGATTATATACCGCGGAGGGGTTTCCCTGGTTATTTCTATCCATTCCAAAACTCTGAGGGATATCTCAGCCCCCTGGTCGCCATTCATTTCGTACGTCCTCGCAGTAAGTAGCAGAATACTTAACCTTTGATATAGTAAAATTATGTTACGGACGAAAGTCAATTGTTCGCGTCTTCGACCAGCTCTGTTCCTGGAATTGCTCTGTGCCAATACTTAGTCATCAAGGATACAAATGGGAACGTCGGCTCGCTTAACCAAAATCAAATATTTGTTACAGCTGGAATTTTAATAAACGTAGAGTGCAAGGCGTGGGCGAAAAACATAAAACACAGCCGCCACGACGAAATGGGCGCAGTCCATTTGGAGTTGATGATAGATTAACAGGGTCTACATATTTTTTCTGGCCTATCCCTTGTTAGCGTACAGAGGCTAAACGCGAATCTCATATTTTCTGACTCTTCGACATACCTGTATGCTTCTGAATAAAGTCGCGAAGCCGTCAGAAACCGATGACCGCTGGCAAAGTGGATAAAATTTTTGTCAAGTACAAAAGTAAAAGAATTTTTTTTTTTATGTTCGTATTACCAGAAGTCCGTTCTACAGAAGTTCCTTGCGTGGCGAGACAAATTTTAGGTCTTGTACGATCCGTATACAGTGTTCAACTTCTTATACGATTTCTTATCCGGTTGAAGTTTATAAACAAAATGTACCATTTAAGTAGTTCTTAATCGATATAACATACTATAGGAACCGAACGTTTGGAAAAAGCTTGTAGAAAGGATATATATGTTTACAGTGTGTTAATACGAACATATTTTAACGATAAATATAATCGTGTTATATTTGAAAATGATATTTTCATGATAAATTGTAATAATAAAAGTGAGTATATTCCTTCTACTCTTATAATTAATCGACACGAATGATAGTTTATTCTAGTTCGATCCGTAAATCATCGTAGATCCCTATGTGAAAATATCAAAATCTTTTACTTAAAATGTATTAATTTTATCCAAAAAATAGGAATAATTATTGAAAGTCGAATCTTATCAAAGATCTGATTTTAACATTTAAGGAGTTAATAATAGTTCTTCGTCTTAACAAATATTTAACCATATCTTGTGAAAAATAGAGATCATCGAAACATTGAAAAAAAAAAAGAAACAAAGCAAACGCTTAGAGAACTATTTAAACTAGTAATTACTGTAATTTTCGAATCTTGTTTTATTGTGAAAATGTGTAAATTAATGGCCGATACGAATAGATCTCTTAAACGTGACAAAGATAATATATATATTTTGCTTCTGAAGTATGTAAATGTATCGTATGTGTACACATATATTTTTATAGATAAGATTTTCTTCTATTGAATCACAGATTGTTGTCATCTATTTCTACTACATTTAATTGTGAAATATTAAATGCCTATTGAAAACGATCCTTACCAAGGGTTATCTCTTATATTTATTTGATCGATCGGTTGTTATTTAACAAGTTATTTTTAGATATGATAGTATTATTATAGAGCTCACTCTTCGTTTCTGTCTTGATAAACTTTCTGCTTTTCTAATCGAACTTATAAATGGTGTGAAAAAAAATCAATATTTTTTCCAGTTGTTACAACTATTTTAATTGATCAGTACATTTATCCTACATTGTCAAAATAAGATAAGAAAATGTCGTTCTTGTAGAAAATTGACCACCGAAAGTTATTAACACATGTATGCGGATAGTAATAATTCCCCAGGATATCACAGTAAAAATTGTAGATTAATAAAGAAACCGACTGCCTTACAACTCTTCCTAAATTTCATATAATTTTTGTAAAACCATATAAACTTTTTGATTACAATCAAATATACACGACATAATCAATGAATATTTAAAAAACATGTAATTTCGATACATACAATTTTATAAAATTATTATACAAGTAGTACTACTAGAAACATTCCAACATAATATTTTCCTTATTTTAAACAATAGAAGTCTTTTCTACAAACATTTTTTAGTTTTGTTGCGAATAAAGGAGACTCGAAGATCGACTTCGAATTCGAGAATTGAATAAAAGTCAGAATTTGATCTAATAATACATTTTGACAATAAAGATACATCTATTCTGAAAATAAGAATTTTTTAAATATTTAACTAATAAAGTATCAGAATTTTAATCTCTGGAGTACTGTCTTATGTAATTAAATGCAGTTGAACAATTTAAATACAATCTCTGCTATGTTTTTACGATATTGAAAAACCTTTAAAAAGATTAGTATAATAAAAAAAAAAGAACAATCGTTTTAGTAGTAAAATTCTGGTCTGCTGGAACAGTCTTCTTCTACTAGGTGTCCTCATCTTTAATTTACAATGTTCATAATGTCAAAAAAGTAAATACCAGTCTTCTAATTTAAACAATTTTTCTACGCATCAAATGTTAAATTGTATGTTTCACCCCTTCCATTTATTTAATTATGCTTAGGCCACTTTTTCAAGGGACTTTTCTAAATTGTTCAACCATACATTTAATCGTGTTAGATGTACTCAAATGAACAATAAACAATATTTCAATGCTACTTTAAAATCTGAATATTTAGAAAACTATCAGTTTTGAAATAATTTTATTACAATATCTTTATTTTCAATATCTAATAGTCTTCCGTGACAATAGAATTTTGCTATAAAAATATCTAATATTTGAACTATCGTTGCTTTGTTATGTTCGCAACGAAATCACACAATTATTACAAGCAACACTGTTTTCTATTAAATAAAATAACGAATGAAGATATTCTTATTTTATAAGAATGCAATCAAAATGAATACATATTATGAATTAATTTGACATATAAAATTACGGAAATGCATGATCGTTTCAATCGCGAATGTTCTGGTGCTTGTAAACGAATTTAAGAAATCAACAACCTGCTGGCCGAATCAATTTAAAATTGGATTCTTTGTTTTGTTTTTTTTCATTATTGCTTGTTATATTATTTGAAAGCATGTTTCTTATAAGAGAGCAAATTTACAATAATGATGTGTACAATCATTGTCTAGAAGTTGTTTATTTCTGAGAGTTGTGTGTATATTTATTAAACAGAATACATCGTTATCGTTAGCGGCATAAAGTACAACAACCTTCTACGGGAAACGCTATAAACGATATAAGTACATACATTTAATAAGTACCTACACCTAAGTATACTTCTTAAAATTATTGGCATCTGTGTTTAACGTTGCAACACTGAGATCCTGGTGTCCCTTTTTTTCACAATGGTTTCGTATCGCAAATCGGGCTATTTCGATTTTACTACGCTAAAATGTATTGCTTAGATGACACAATAGCAGCCAAACACGGAGTTGGGCAAATTTTATTCACAAATAACGAATAAACATATGTTTAGATTTGTCTCGAAAACTAATTTCTGTTTACATTTCGTTCGTAAATTAGAATTCATTCACAACGGCATTTAGAAGAATGAATTTATGGGCAGAAGTTAGCTTACGACTAAATCTAACATTTTTATTTGTTATTCGTGAATAAAATTTGTCTAATTCTGTTCCAGTCACTTAATACCGCTTTATACCTTACAAAACAAACGTAACTAACGTTTATGATGATACGAGAGTAAAAATTAGCGATAAAATTAGTTTGCGTTAAATTAGGTTATTTTGGGAAAACTTAGATTTAACGATGTGTTATCGAAAAATTATTTCAAAATGTGTAGTCGATTGGTAAGTTCCAGGAGGATTCTTAAACGTTTGGTAAGTAGTGAAACTGCAATATTTTTGCCTTATTATGCATATATTACATAAAATTTTGTTTATATTTACAGGTAACGAACAACCAGAGGACTGTGGATTCTACAAACAATTATTTTCGACACACCAATCGTAGGATTAATCAATTTTCAAGTGAATGAGATGGAGGTAAGGACTTTTTATGTATTATTTAAGAAATGTAGAATAATAATAAAGAAGTCGTTTAATCGACTTAATGCAGCACTCTTTTGAGCAAGGATATCATTAAAAAAGCAGAGCAACATACTACTAATACCTCTCTAATTTAATTTGTATTAATTGGACTTAGCCTTTAGTAGTTGCCAGCCATTACAATGACTAGGTATAACAAAATATTAGAAATATTAGCAATGTATGAATTGAAATTGAAATTAGGTTGCTATTATATTACACAAGATTCACCATGTATAACTCATAAGTTTAACATGTGAAAAATTATAATTAATAAAATGTAAGTCACGTTTGTTTCTTAAACTATGCAGCGGTTTTAAGTAGCTAGCTGCCATCTTATGTATGTATGTATGCATATAACGTATACATATAATCAGAAAGGATAGCAATTATTCATAGATGAGATTTTGAAAAAATTCTTAAAACCTTTGTTCTCAAATGTTTAACTATTCGATACACTGCCGTTTCGTCGACTAATGGCAATATTTATGTATAAACTGTAACTGATGGTGAAATCAAATTAAATATGCTAAAAACAATTTCATTTCCCCTTTACTCGGCCCGAGTAAAACACTTAAGAGTTATTTAGTTACAGTATATACGAAATTCACATGGACGATACAGTATAAATAAACGACCGTAGAACGGCAACGAGGTAATATGTTTTTTAACATGTTTCGGTATATCGCAGTAGATCATGAGAAAACGATGAAAGGAATCGACGCTGCTACAAATGTGTTTTCTCTTCTTTTACAATTTTTCTTCGCGTATCTTCATCCATATTATAAAATGTAGAGCATAATTTCGTTCGTTGTAAAATTTATGTATTTCAAATACACGGTCAATTGTTAATTATCCGTGTATCGTTAACGTCTCGATGAAAACAATTTTTTGAAAACTGCCAATGTTGATTTATGTAATAAGTACAGTTCATGTATATTCCTTTCTTTTCTGCATCGGTGAAATTATTTCGTAACATTTTATCCGTTTGATTGTTAGATCCTGATATGGCCGATAATTAACGATTATTTTATTTGACAGGAATATAAATAATTCGTCGCTGGATCGAAGCGAATGTACGAATTCTGGGGTCCGATCGTTAGAAACTTTCGATACTTACACATCTATCGTATTTTTCCTAATACTAATCGTTACTTGTATCTTAATTTCCCCTAGGCTAGCGTAGATAAATGTTCCCCGGTCGTCGACTAAGGTTCAACATTCGAGTTTATCTGTTCCCTTTTCTTGGTCATCGTAGCCTGGAATTTTAAGCGATTTTCTCGGTTTTACAATGTGTGAGCATCCCCCATGGCAGATATCCGCATTATTCCGCAGATAATTTTGCGTTGATGTTTCCCTTGCAGAGATGAACACGGTCATTCGTCGATCATAAGTTCGAAATGCACAGTTCCAGTTTTTTCGCCTCTCACGTCTATATGCAATATGTTCCTCGCCCACGCTAGACACTTGACGTTGATTACTATATTCCCTAGAGGATAATTAAAAGTTTTCTATTATAATAAATACAAAGTAAATATAATAATTATAATTATCTTAATTCTCAAACTAACTCAATAATAAATTGTAGAATGCATGGTTATAAGCGGAAATTATAATAACAGATGAAACAAACGATAAGAACTCTGTCATTTCTAGCCTCGAAACGAAAATTTCTTTTTTAAATACTGTTTGAATTTCATTGCGTTGACTTACTTGCTGGTCGAAGAAAATGCACAGCAACGACGGGGCTTAAGTAACCAGGAATGTTTTTGTAGGGATAGTAATAACCTGGAAACCCCTGACTCTTGGGGTAATAGTTCAGCTCACCGATATTTTCGGTATCGTGAGGATTTTCACCTACGCAGGATACCCACACGGTATTCAGCTGCAATCAGAAAAAAATACACACATGATAAAATATAATAAACAAACCAACTTATAAAATCTGAGGATGAAATTGTGTCTGTTACGGTCGCTATCGAATTTCGGTCAGAATTTTTGTTGCAAAATGTGCAATCGTCCAAACCAGACTTGGGTAAATTTGATTGGAGAAAAAACAGATAACTGTTTGAACTAATATTTAAACCTTTGATCGAGGAAATATTAATTGTTTTAAATAATTGCCATTTCAAATATGCTTTGATTAAATGTTAATTCACTTGTTTAAAGTAGCAATTCAAATAACGTTATTTCAAACGTGCCCAAGTTTGATACAGACGATTAAAACTTATTATTACATGTTAATTTTGTAAAATCGGTATTGGTGGAATTTCCTGGTAACTTAAAATACTGGCTGACGTTATTAACTGACCGACTAACTAACCCATGAACTGTTGGTGGATTTGATATGTTGAACGAGATTGTTTGGCATTTCTTTCGGCAGATTTTTGGTGTCATTGTAGAATTCCGGTTCCCAATCGTATATCTGAAAATGGAATATTTGTTAATCAATCAGATCACATAGTACAAAAAGGAGTAAAAATAAAAGCTGAATCACTTTTATATTTAATCTACGATTAAATCTAATAATTTTATGTTTCTTCGATGCTCGAAACAATCAGAAAGCGTAATTAATTCGGGGATTTACAAATGTTATTTATTAGAAGGCACCCTTAATAGAAATTCATTGTCAATTGCGTTAGCTATTGATGACCTACTCTATTTAATTTAATAAAGATACAAGGCGCTGAATTATTGAAACCATATTGTTCTTTAGGCGAGCAAGGTCCCCAGTTGTTCACATCAACCGCACAAACATGTCCGGGCTTCACTGGCGTATTGTAATTGCAAATCTGTTGATTTCTACCGCCGTTTGGTAAAAGAGTCGAATTGGTGTAGTCTGCGGAGAATCGACAATGTCGGCATACAAAAATATTACAAGTTATGCTCTTATAATTAATGAAAAATTGTGTCGTTTTTTCAAATTCATTCTTTACAGCGTTATTAATAAAAAAGAAAAAAAATAATGCAATCAATTTATATCATACAACGTCCATCATCATCTAGGACCGTTATTTTTAGGCAGTTTATTTATTTTGTTTGCATAAAACTGCAAATATTTAGCGACAACCTGAATTTATGTAATATACAGCACTGTTATGCACATAATCATACATCGTGATAATTTACCTTGTAAAAACTTATCCAACAGTTTGGTCCACTTTTGCACCGACGCTGGATCCGACGAACTGTACCAAATTAACGCTTTTTCTGCGGTGTTATCGGAGTTCGGTCGAAATCCTAGACCTAATCACGCAGAAAATGATTATTAATCAGTGAGAATGTATATAATTAATAGTTACTTAGTGTATTATTAAACATTTATTGAACTTATAAAACTTATAAAAAAAGAAATCTTTTCGTTTTGCATTTTCTTAAAGTTTGAAGTTATTAAAAACACAATTCGGGATTATGATGAAATTCGAAATATTGGCAACGCGATGCGGCCTTGAACTGAATACACAGGGTTGAGGCGTTTAACTAAAATCAGTTAAATCACTGTGCAAATAATAACTTTGGAGAAAATTGATTCGAATGAATATTTAAAATTTTTAACTTCCTCGAAATCGATTGTTTATATTTGAAAAAATACAAATAAACGCAAACACAAAAGATTACAATTGATAAAAGAGAATTTTTAGAATCGGAAAATTATAGAGATTTTAAAACGATCGAGGTTATTAATAAAGATAATAAATTAGCGAAAAATGCGTTCGCGGATACGGGGGGGAGGGGGAGGAGGGATTTGTGTTTACGAAACGATCGATTCGTTGTAAACAAAATTTCGAATTTGATACTATTCTTATCCATTGATTTTACGTGTCTATTTTTAATCCACTTCGCTTCATTCTGTTGAGCGAACCGAAAGGTCGTTCCGTAGGCAAGCGTTCCATTTTATTAACGGCGGGAGTTCGAAGTTCGCTGATCAGCTGCTTTATTTCATTACTATGTCACGGCACTGTTGCAGACTGATAAACAACGCGATACGCTCGAGCAATTGATACGGGAACTGTTAAGCACCTCGTTCTCGATAAGAAAATTCAGCTGTGCAAGAACAGCTACATAAAACTTAATCTATTAATATCTCTAATAAAATTTCGTAATCTGTACAGTTTTTAATACTGTACTTATCGTATTAGTTGCATACAATTAAGCTAAACGTGTGGAATTCTCTGGCCAAAGTTTTATTTTTGTATGTAAATTCTTCTTAACATTTTCTTTTGAAAATTAATTTTCTTAACCGCTTAGTGAAAAGATCATTCCATATATGGCTGACACGGTAGTGAACGCGTTAATTGTATTCTCTTCTCAGAAATTCTCTTGTTGAATTCCCTAACCGTCTCGCGATGATACAAAAATCGTCTCCAGTAACGATGTACGCGTCTAGAGTTTCGTTTCTGTTTTGACCATGGGTTCTAGGAACTCATGGTGTTTATCATACAAAGATAAGGATTCGCCACCAAGGCGAACCGACCTTCACTCTCGCCATTCTTCGACGGGTGAGTCGTACGATCTCTGAGATAAGTCTTCACGCTTAGACTCGTACGTTTAACACTAGAACTACCAAACCAGTCAAAATGACCCATTCGTAATTTCTAATAAAACTTGTAAAAAATTTACTCGACTGAATTTTTGAAAAATCGTAATTTTCTGTAAGAGAATATATAAACACTTAATTCCATTGCATTATATATTTCTTCGCGTTTCAATTTCTTTGGTACAAATAAACACACTATAATTGTCGGTTGTTCTAGTGTTAAATATTGAAGTTTGATTTAATTATACAACCCATAACCCTACAATTCTAACATTCCTTTTATCACAGAGAAATAACAGTAAATACGAATTACGATTTTCTATTTTGATCATACTGACCTCTAATCATCCGAGTGTAGTATTATAATTTTCATGACTAATCATGTTTCTAGGAAATGGCCAGCACAATGGAAAACGAATACTTTAATATATTTAATACTATCATTTTTTATTTTAAATTTTTTAAACTTATTGTATTTATTGCGTTACCTGGATTGGTCCCTATCAAGCTCTCATCCAGCGTCCATCTTGGTTTTTCAGGATTTATCGTGGCCAACAGCCCCTTCATGCAAATGGCGAAGAGGAGGGCCAAAACGGTTAAAAAGCAGGTATAAAAGGCTCCAGTGATAGCTGAAAAACAAGAAAAAACAAAATAAAGATTAGGTAACAATTTAATAAAGTCTCCATGAGATTGTCTTTTATAGATGCAAGCTTAAACGATCGACTAATTTTCTAGCTACTGTTTAAAATTATTTTTATTTAATATTGATTTTAACACGCGTTTGCTAATTGGAAAGCCACATAGCCTCGAAAATCTTCAACGTTTGAACGATTGAGCGGAAAATATTTAACGCCTGGGCATTATGCCAAAGTCCGATCTAAATATAGTTCCCTTTTCAAGAGTACCGTACGCTATGATGGCCACCCGCTTCTATCCCTTTATCGCGATTAGCTTTCGACTGCAGATTAATATCCGATATAAAGCGATACCTTTATTCGATCGTAACGCAGCTATTGCTTAACCGATTACACGTTACAACTCGATAAAGCCGTTGTGAAGAAAATGGAAATTATGACCGATGAAAATTGTTCAATAACATAATTTTATTATTTACATTCCTTCTATTTTCAGTTTTCAACGTGACTTAACAATTACAATTAAATTAAACGAAAGTTAATGTTTAAAGAAAGCACCACAGTGATCTATAAATAACCTAAAAAGGCGCAAGGTCAGTCAGTCTTTTAAAAGGAAAAATATATTTCCAACTTCGATTTCAATTGGAGATGAATCACGTATCCTTGAAATTATCACATATTTGAAAATTTAACAAGGTATTACCGGGTTACATGTTATCGAGATGCATTATTCAGTTCAATAAGTGATAAAAATTATTTCCTCCGTCGATGATACATGATCATAAATGCACGATAGTTGTTCCTTTTAATATTAAAATTTAAAAATCTTTATTAGGAACATGACACTGACGTCATGACGAATATGACATTCGAAAAACAAAAATGTTTTGTATTGTAATTGTGTCCAATGGCATTTCTTTGTTTGCGCCATTAAAAGTAATGGAGATATCGCTTTGTAACAGAGTTACCGAGACACCCTGTGCATTACATAATTAACTTTGGGTTAAAGAAAATGACAAAAGGCCGCTACCAACAAATGAAAGGGTCGTATTATTCAATTTATAAGAATACAATGCGGAAACATGCGCGTAAATCTCGCCGACAACGTTTGCTTCTATTTAAGTAATTATTTATATTTATGTAGAACTTATATAATTGAAGTCACAACTCTATCTAATTTACGATTACGACGCACCAGCATAAATACATCCGTTCCGTGCGAGACTTATATTTCAAAAGTATAGGGATAATGTCGGGAAAAACAGAACTAATAATATACTTATATTGCGATACGTTGATTGTGCAAAAACACTAACATCAGCCAGGTAAACCAGTTTTCCAGGCTTTTAAAACGTATGTATCGTCGAAACGTTTCCGTTTACTGGTCTCGGCGACGATGTAGAGTTCTTTTACAAGCGTGCATACTATTTTAACGACGGATCGACAGTAATTTCAGTAGTTACTGCGGTTTCCTAGTTTTTCTTCCCTCATAATTGCAATTTATCATCGCACGAGGATCTAATGTCATCTAAAACTCGTAAAGTTACTCGTCGACGCAATGTATGTTTCGATTCGATTAAAATTTCTAGTTTCACTAAATTTTTTATACAGGTTGTTCGGCCACACCTGGGAAAAATTTTAATGGGGGATTCTAGTGGCCAAAATAAGACGAAAATCAAGAATACCAGTTTGTTGATGGAGGCTTTGTTAAAAAGTTATTAAACTTTAAAGTTCCGTCCGTATCGAATTTTTTTCTCGAAAATGTGCAGGATTTCGGGGGTAGGTCTATTCACTAAAAATTATTGTAATTGAACCTCGCAACCGAAAATAATTTTTTCAGAACGATTTGAAATTTTTTTTTTCCCGTCGAAAAATTTTGCACCTTCTCGAATTTTTTTCTAGAAAGTGAGTAGGATTTCGGGGGTATGGGTAATGACCAAAAATGTTTGTAATTGACCCCCGCAACCGAAAATAATTTTTTTAGAGCGATTTGAAAAATTTTTTTTTGTCGAAAAATTTCTTTACCTACCGAATTTTTTTTCTCGACAGTGGGTAGGATTTCGGAGGTATGTGTATACACCAAAAATTATTGTAATTGACCCCTGCAACTAAAAATAATTTTTCCAGATGAATTTGAAATTTTTTAATTTTGTCGAAAAATTTGTCCACCTTCATGAATTTTTTTCTCGAAAATGGATAGGATTTCGGGGATATGTCTATTCACCAAAAATGATTGGAATTGACCCCTGCAGCTAAAAATAATTTTTCTAGAAGGATTTGAAATTTTTTAATTTTGTCGAAAAATGTCGTTACCTACCCAATTTTTTTTCTCGAAAGTGGGTAGGAATTCGGAGGTATGTGTATTCATAAAAAATGATTGTAATTCACCCCCGCAACTGAAAATAATTTTTCCAGATCGATTTGAAATGTTTGCATTTAATTGTTAATAACTTTTTAACGAAGCCTCCATCAACAAATTGATATCTTGACTTTCGTCTTATTTTAGCCTCTAGAATCCTCCATTAAAATTTTTCCCATGGATGGCCGAACACCCTGTATTTTTGTCGCGTCGAATTTATTTATATGTCCATTACAATAATAGAAATCGAATATTTTCGATTTGTCACGTCGACGATATTAAATAAATAAAACTCAAAGTATTATCACTACTCGATTATATAAGATTGCTTCTTTTATAAATGAAACTTTCATTATTAATTATACATTTAATATTAGTAATTAGAAAATGTCACGAGCAAAAGAAATTATTTAAATACGAAAGATCGAACGAGATATTAAGATTAAGATAATTCACGTGATAAAAGGAATTAAATTACCTGAGTCGTTTGCTTCACACGCCACCAAATGTGTGATAATGATTATCGTGGACGAAAGTTGACGGAATACTTGTCTTGCTTATATAATACATTAACGTAAGATAACATAAAGAAGTCACATTACGAGTGTATTCGTTTGTTGTGTTTCGCGAGTTAAATTTTATTCTGCAATAGAAATAATTTTTAGAAATTTATTTATTTATTAATTTTCTATTTTCAACGTATCGCTCCGATATCTTTTGCATAGTACAATAATACGTATTAATGTATTATAGTAGTTGAACATAATATTGACATAATTTAGTAACATCGGCCGCGTGCCAATATACATACGTAGGCACAGTATTTTATAACACATTTTATAACTGCGTCGAATTTAATCTCACCGTATTAAGAGATATTAGAAGCATTAATATCAATAAATTGTGACAGAGGTTACTTCCGCTCTAATAAATCTCGTTCTTTTCTTCTCTCCCTTCCTCTCTCATTCCTTCACTTTCTCCCCCCTTCTCTGTCCTTGTCCCTTTCGTTCAAGAAAGATACAAACATCGTTCTGAAGATTAGCCTATTCGGATTACACGCTTTTCTCGCATTACTTATAATTAAATAATACAATCGAATATAATTTTGCAATATGTTCTTATTATTAAAAGATAGACATCAATGCAACGTAATTATAAAATCATTATTATTATTATTAGCGTATTTTTACTGTAAAAAATTAAGTAAACCTATATCTCTGAAACAATTAGAGCTACAAAGAAATGTTATATGGCAAAATTAAACAGCATCGAATGATGCACAAAAAATGCAATTGCAACCATTTTTCAACGAAAGATGTGTGATCGAGAATAAATGATTCAAATGTATACTATTTAAATTTCGTTCAAATTTGCATGACCACAGAAAACAACAGATTTAGAAGTTCCATGAATATTTCACGAATGTGAAAATGTATTTTAATACATGAGAACGAGATGTATTTTCAGTCTCTTGGTCAATTTTTGGAAAATAAATAAAAAGTGTTCGGTGCTTTTGCTTTCACGGCTTAACATGTGCAAAACGATCATTGCATGACCTCATTAAAACTCAATTTACATATTCATGCCCGGTTGAAAGTAAGAGCAGATTTATCAATCTTGTTCAGCCTATGGTCGAGCGAAATTATCACGTTCCATTTGATTTTCTTCTTTTCTTTTTTTTCTCTGTATTTCTAAGCTTCAAAATATTACTATTAATGCATATTTCTCCCCCCTATGGTTTTAGTTAATTTGTATTTTATCGTATGTTGTGATATTGCTTGCAATAATACTTCGACGAAACGAATATCTTCATTAAAATTTCTCTTGTCATACTGTGTCTTGTTTACTTTCGGTAGATGAAATTGTTTATCAGATTCTGACTTACACTGAATTATACTACTCGAGTGACCAAATGCGATAAGACACGTTTGCCAGATTATATTTCAGACAGTAATGATAATAATCATTTTTATAGTTGCAAATATCTCGTAAATGGTTGAAGGTACAAAGAAGTTAAATTGAAGAAATTTACGAATTTGAGTCAGTTACAAGGTGTACGTAAATTATTTTTATTTTATTTGTGAAGGTCAACTTAGTTCTTTTAAATTACCTCTACTAACTAAACATGCAAACAAAATTTTATGTATCCATTAAAAAAAAACTGAGTTCTCCTTAAAAACAAAAAAATAATTTACATGCATCTTGTAGCTGACTTAGAGCGGTGTAAATTTCTTCTATTAAACTTTTTTTATACCTTCAACTATTTATGAAATATTTATATTGATACCTTGTATATTAACACTGTTATCAATGTATCGGTGAGCTTTGAAAATGAAAAATTACCTCTAATATTTTAAATACTTACCATGTTACAGGAACGTGGAGGCAATTAGCAATATGGACACGTGGACGTGCAGTAATGGATTCGAGGAAATATAGCAAATGGAACGATACTCTGTAGCACTTACCGTGGAAATGAAATGGATGGAAGGATGAAGAAGAGAGTAAGGTATTTTATATGATTTACATAAAATTTTCACGACATATTAGCTCTGTACCTTACTAGTAAATAATTCATTTATTATAAAAATGTTTAATCGAAAGATTCAATCGATATGGCACATCTGGTTTTCAA